TCCAGCCTATGCTTGCTAACAGATTTGGCTTGCTTTCCAGTTCTTTCCAGCCTTCAAAAAGCAAACTAAAAAGCCCCAAGGCTGTACTTTCTGAGCCCACTACATACCTGTGCTCAGTAATCATCAAACTGAAAAAAATTCACTAAGTCTTCAAAACAAACTGTTCAGAAAGAATCCATCACACTGAGGGATGAAGTATGTTTCTGTGACAAAAATGTGACATGGTAGTTTGCAATTTTTAAAATGAGGTTTATCATGAAGCTGAATTTGTAGAAAGGCCAAATTAGTTCAATTAATGTCATTAGTGGCATCCCTGGTGACAGAGAGGCTGGATTAAAATGATCTCTAAGGTCCGTTCCAGCCTAGGCCATTCTATGATTTTCACAGAAACATGAAATATCAGCTATATTTTACAAACATGCCATTTCAGAGCTTTATTGACCAGTAGCATAGATGTGAAACTGTTTCCCTGAAGCAGCAGCAACATTTTCAATTAACCTGAACAGGTAGGGAGAGGTTTACCTGGTTAGATGAGCATGTGTGTGCACGTACACACACTCGCCCTGTGAGGGAAAAAACCGTTCTTGAGGTTCACTACAAAACAGCACAGACAGGTGCAGCTACATAAATATGAGAGAAAACTGGAATAGATATGATGAAAATACCAAGGGTGAAAGACTCTCAGTGACTCCCATCCGACTTAGAAAACAAAACACACAACATAGCAACAGCACAGAGTGCAATATGGGTTATACCGAGCAGACTCTGGCAGTTACTCCCACCTAAACAATCAAGACTGCTCACAGGTAAGAGCTGTGATTTATTTATTTCCTTCAGCATGGGTTACAAGAACGACATATATTTAAAAGCAGTGATTTATGCTGTTTCTAGCAACTTACTGAAACAATCAACATACAATTCCCAGTGTTCCCTTCAGTTACTCTTCACAACATCTCTCCAAAATAGATACTGTAGGTAACAGGTGCATATAACAAACAGGTAAATTCAATTTAGACATGGGGAACTTCAAAAGAGATACATCACCCTACTGTTCTCCTCTTAAAATACTGTTCTGTAATTGCTTTGAATACGAGCAGGACTAGACTGATAGATAGAGAGCACCTGAAAGTCCTTGCCCAAAGCATATTGGCAGGAAAACAAGTTGGCACAGACTGATGAGAGAACTGTTTCCTGTAATCTGAATGCCAAACACCTGTCCTCTGCACATTCTGGGACTGAAGGCAGATACTCTTCTCATCCATTATTCAATTGATTACCTTGTTACCTTTCAGCACCCAGATTTCTACCAGCCCATGTAAAATCACAGGAGAAAACCCCATGTGGCCAGGAGACAGGCAGAAGAGAAAGAGTTTTTTATACTTTCTAATAATAGGAAGTGCTATGTGTTCAGACTTACTAGAATTAAAGATCTCTTGGATAGTATGCTTTAGATACTTACATATTTATACTACATTTCATGCACCCATAAAATAAATACAATTTTGACCTGAAATTACAATTAGCAACGACCTAACAACTTAAACTCTGGCTTAAAATTAGGAATGAACTGTATCCAGTCACAGGTTTGCTGGGCAACTGCTTTTACCTGTCTCAGTATTCCTATTCGTAAATGAGGAATCAGGACACTGCTCTCATTCTATGAAATACTTTGAGCCTTTCAGGTAAACAGCGCATTATCCTGTTCACAAAACAAAAACAAACAAGCGAAACCCAACCCACAACAAAACCAAGCTACTTTTACAGTGTGTTGCCCCACAACTAAGCAGGAGACCTTCCTTTCCCTGCTCAAACACTTGTGACGTCTCCTACCCCTTCAGCTGACATGAAACCTGACAAACCCAAGCACAATGTGCTCTCATCATTTTACAGGCTCTTGCAACTTGTGCTGGATGCACATTAGAGGAAACTCAAGCGATGATGGAGGATCTGCTCCCCAAGAGCTGAGGGAGCAGCTGTTGCTCCATACTGGGAGGATCTTAGATGACAGGCAAGAGAGAAAGGCAGTGTAAGACTGCTGCAGGCATACAGAAACCTAAAGAGATTCAGAAATAAATGGGAAGAAATGGGAATTGGTCGCTTACCCACCGGTGCCCTCCAGTGGCTCACACAGCAACTCAAGGAACTGAAGACAACCTGTTTCAGAAGTCCACGACACCATAACCATTTCATCAATGGTCAGAAACGAAAATGCTGTCATCTGGATGTCAGACAGCTCTTTCTTCAAAATGTAAGTTCCTGCATGCAAATCTCCTATCTGCTATCATTACATACTGTACCCATAAAAACCTACATTCCATCAGTGAAATATTAATCACAAGCCATGTAAAGAGACAACAAAGAAAAGTGATTCCCAAGACAAAAATGTTTATTTATACTAACTCTTCAAATTGGTATACATTCACAATCTTTCAACAAAATCAGGACATGTGTCTAGGGCAAGCTGAGTATGTATCATTAGAAGATAACGCTTTCCTTTGCAATTAATGTTCATAAATCAAGAATTAGTGACAAATTTACAACCCCTTACATCGGGGTTAATGTTTTCAGTAAGGCTATCCCAAATACTAGGCAACACAGAGTGTTTGTATAACACAATTCTAATCATTGAGTTTCAATATCATATCATAGTCTTTTAATGAGCAGTAAATACTGGTGGGGGAAACATATCTTAACGCTGAGCTGAATGTTCTCAAGCATTGAAAAGCAAATACAAATGGTGAAGTAATCTACAGAAATTTAAATAAATAATTTTAGTTACTGAAACCTCACTTTCTGTCTGAAAAGAATATTACTACAGACTGAAAAAAAAATCCATAAAAACCTTTTCTCTTGATTGGCCTTAGAATAAGCTTCTGTACAAAATAGGAACAATTAAGATTTTGGGGTTTCAGTGGCAGGAGTAGTATTGCAAGAATAAAGAAATCATCTTAAAATATATATTAATTTACCACATTTGGCTCATATAGCCCTTTATGTATCTTACAAAATGCTACTGTCCTACATACTGCATGTAAAAAAAAGTTTTTATAGATATGTATATATACACATATAAAGGCAAAGCCAATCAGCTTGGTATAAAAACAAAAAAAAACCCCACAAAACCTAAAAAGCATAAGCAGACACACTAAGTTATGCAGTAATGAGGAGCGTATGCTCCATGTGTGCGTTAGTGTAACAGTGCTTCCCACCATAACACATTCTTTGAATTGCCTTAGCAGAGTGATTACTCCAAAATCAGCTCTATCAGTGATTTCCTCAATAGCCACAAATATCTCATGTTACTTAACTTGCAGCCACCTGTTGTGCTCTGCATCACAGCAGAATAAGGCAAGACAACTTTTCTCATCGACGAATAGCTGGCGACATCTGCGAGGTCGTCCAAAAATTAATGCAAAACATTGGAGGAGCACAAGAAACGGCAGCCCTGAGCTGAAGCCTCCTCTCCCATCCATACAAAGCTCTCCCAGCGCTCACCTGCTTCAGAGTCAGCCGGGCTACTTCGGCAAGTAGCACAATTATTCCCAGGCATCTCCTTTGTTTTAGCAAGTTTTGAATGACAACTTCAAGCTTCAGGATGGGATTGCACTCACGATTTCTGGCCAAAAAAATATCACTAAGAACAGTGAACAACAGTTCTGACACTGCTCAGAGGTTTGGAGTGGATATTTGGAGCTGATAGACATTCTTGTAGAACTCTGTGAATTTTTACGCTAACCCTTGTCTCCCAGCTGCAAGAATTAGTTCACTCTTTATGTACCTGGCATATATTTTACCAACAAAAAAAAAATACAGTTCAGTATACATGAAAAACAAGCAACATTTATCTATCTTCTCTTGCATCAACCTTCTTAAAAAAAACCCAACCAAAAAAACGTACCCCCAAACTCCATAAAACCATACACTTTCCAATAATAAATAAAATTAACCTCTCTCATAAAGCAAAGGTGCCTGAAAAAAAACACCACCACCAAACCCTAATTGACATAGCCAGGGAATAAAAGAAACAGATGTCTTTGAGAGGCTTTCTGGCAGATTGGTCGTAAAGGACTCGATCCAGCACCCATTAAAGTTTTGTCCAGTGAAAGGGTAACTTCAGAATTCACCATTTCTCTGGGGAGGCTGGTTCAGGACCACAGTCCAGTTGATGTGTCAGGCACTGAAATGAATACAGTCAGGGTACTGGCATTAAAATCTTCTGACAACACAAGAACAGCCTACCAGGGAATTCCCCAAAAATTCCTCGGAGCGGTGTGTGGAGCACACTTTGTAGCTGACAGTTAAGCTGATGGCATGAGAATTTTGAGCAGTAGATACCCAAGGGTATCCTTTCCCACCCACCAAACTATACCAGTGAAGAACCGTCAGAGGTACAAGACTAAAATGAACCCTAGGCTCCAGGGTTCAGAATACCCAGGCCAACATCTCCCACTTCTTTTGGGGAACGGGATTCTAGAAGAGCCCAGCACCTGGGGACAGCAAGGGAGAAACAGAAATACAAAACCACAAGGATTAAAAAACAAAGGGAGGTTATGATCCCCCTCCAGCATATTCCTTTTAAAACAGTGTCATTAAAAACTCTAAATTCTCTTAGAAATTAGTTTCAAAATAGTCCGACAGTTTTAAAGACCTTCAAAAAAAAAAAACCCCTCAAAGTATCCTTCACTAGAGTTAATTAAAACATCCCTGTAGCCCCCTGAATAACTGCTACCACTTGTTTTGCATTAATATTGCTTCATATAATCATAAGCATGCAAAATGTTAAAATTTCAACGCACATACAGAATAAAACCAAGTTCTAATAGAAAGACTCCTCATATTTCAAGGTCACAGACTTGATTCAGTCTCCATCAAAACCAGTGAGATTCCTCCCACAGTGCCCAGCAGCCTTGGGACTAGGCCTTAATAAGAGACAACAAAACATCGTGCTTTATGGCGCAGGAACACACAGAAAGTACACTTGAGTATATACACTAGATACCTAGTGCAACTTTTGCATTGTGTATCTTAAAACAGTTGCATTTTAGCCAGTAAAAAGACAATCACCAAGCTGACACTGCATGCTGTGCCAAACTAGGCTGTATGACAAAAAACCAACACCCATTCAGAGACATTCACGTTGTGACTGTTGACTAGTGAACGGCTTTGAACGAAGCTTAACAATGCATCCACTTGAACCCAGAGACAAATCGGCAAGGCAAAGAAAGCTGCATTAGTACAACACCCTGATTGATTTTAGATGTGCTCTGGATGACTTTGAAGGCAGGATATCATCTCTCGGACAGGCTTCCCTTTGTAGCAGATTTGGTACACGGCAGTGAATAGCGGAAACCTGAGGAAACAGGGTGGGGAAAGCAAACACAGCGTAAGTTTGTTCTGTAACATTTTCTTAATTGAAAGAAATAGTAGAGGGAGATGAAAAGAGAGCAAGGGAAGAGAGAGAAACTGAAAAATCAATTTCTTTTAGTATACATCAAGCACTAACGCTGGGCTGAAAAGCACTGGATAAATACAGAATCTATATGCATCTCTAAAATGAGTCACTCTTGGAAGCCTAGCTAGCCATAATGGAGCCTGCAACATTCATTATGTATGGCACAACCACTAAGTGATCTAAAAAAGTAAAAAAATTATACAAACTCGAATTCTTATAGCCTTACTTATCTATGGTTTAAAAGGAAGATTGACACATGAGTTATGCATTGTCTCTGAGCAGTAATTTGATAATACAACACAAAGAGACCCAAGAAGAAACTGAAGGTCAAGTTTTTAATAAGAATCCAAAATTAAACAGGGATTTTGAAACACTAACTTCCAACTCTTCTTTTTTCCTTTCTAAAGTTGGCCATGTTTCCAACAACTCCAAAATTACTTAGACTTCTCTGATAATCTGAAGGCTTGTTCCAGCCAAGACACTTTACAGAAATTTGTATTTACTTTCCATCCATCCTCCCGGACAGTGACAACCAGAACAAGTCCCATTTTCATACAGAGCCTGCTGAATTTCAGGCATTAATTAACTATTCACCAAAGTAAACATGCCTTTTCAGTGTGGCCTTTTAGAAAGACAAATTTTGACTAAACACAATATGTTATTTTGACTGAAATTAAAAATAAGGAGCACTGGATATAGTTGATTTCTGAGCGATTCAGAATAGATCTGAACTAGGACTTCCTCCTCAGGAAAGCAGCCCCATCAGTCACTCTAAAGCTTTATCTGTAACACACAAACGCAGCATCGAGTAGAACCCCCAACAGGCACCGAGCGCCGTACATGCTCGCCCACACACCCCGCGATCTTGTGTTACACTGAACTAACTCTGGTGCCACCACAAAGCTTGGAACTAGACTCCTCAAACCAGAGGACACAAGAGAAGCCACGAGCCATTCAGGACTACCATTACAGCACAGTAACTACTGCATCCCCAGGGGCAGGATTTGCACTTGGCCGAATGCACTACTGGAGAAAATAAAGCAGGGGAATAGATGTGCTTGTGAATTCAGTTCACCATTTCTATGGCTTTTCTTGCAAATGCTCAGTTCAAAACTATAGAATTTAATTTGTATCTGGAACATTTTAATGTCCTCCTATAGAATGCGTGTCCACTTATTTCAATTTGTCTTTGTGAAGAACAAAATAAAAATAGCAGCAACAGCAAAAACTATTTCAGGTCCATCTAACTGACTTTATTTTTGGTTTTAGTTCATCAGTGGAACCAAAATTAGCACAAGTCACATACCCGCTCTTTCAGACCCAATGTTACACTGCCTAGGTTGCAAAATCGTTACTGGGAGACATGCAGAAAAGGAACGTACACAAAGATTTTTGCATTTATTAACAAGGTTCATGTATTACTCTGCGTAATACATTGGGCCGGGGTGGGGCTGAATTTGCTTTCATCACAAAAAGGAAAAGGGCATTCACAAATTTAACATCACACCATCAGCTTTATCTACAGCAAAATTCTTCTGAGGTTCTGTTAATTTCTCTGCGTTTCTAACTGGGGATTAAGTTACTCTTATTACAGTGATTTTAGTTCTGGCTATTATTCTCATGAAGATATCAACACCGAATATTCAGAAAGACTTATGGAGATAAAAAAAGGGGAGTATGCAGAATTTGGTTCATCTGTTTTTACGTACTTTTCCAGCATTCCTTTCTGCTTGAGGATGCGATATACTTCTGCAGAAGTCTGTGGTCCTTGCAGTTTCTGACCATTCAACATTTCTTTCTCCAATTCTTCAATAGACTAAACCACAGAGGGGAAAAAAATTCAAAACCAACAACAAAAGGAATAAAAGGTGAACTATGATAAAGTTTTCATAAGCCTGACAACATCATGCGGACGGAAAAAACATAAACATGTTACTGAGGGATTTTCCTTTCTCAAAAGTGACCTTGAGTGAGTATATATAATATTATCCTACACTGCTGTTTGACGAGAATATTTCAAATCTGCGTCTCCCAACACCTTATCTCTCCAGTTTGTTTTTTTTAAAACACCCCTCCTTTTTAACACCTTCCCACTCATTCCAGCCTTGTAACATTCAAAAATGAGAGGAAAGACAAAGGTGTCCCCTTGCCTCAGTACAGCTAGCATGTCTCACAGAACTGTGCCATTACTCCAAGAAACCAGGAGTGCCAGTGCTCGCAACAATGGATTTCACCCCGTGGGTAAGGTACCTTTCCGGTTTTAACAAACGCTTCTGCTACACGTCGATTCCGGCCTCCATAACATGTTGTGATGAGATCTGCAACTCCACAGCTTTCCAGGAAAGTGGCAGTAGACACCTGTCCTTTGCAAAAAATTCGGGCAAAGGCAATCATCTCCATTAGGCCAAGGCGAATAACAGCAGCTTTGGTATTGTCACCGCAGCAAAGGCCGTCACAAAAGCCAGCTCCTACCGCTACTATATTCTAATGAGAAGAGAAGAGAAAAAAAAAGGGAAACGAGTCAATTATTGCTTACAGTATCCTAGAAGACACCGAAAACCAGGGTGCAGATATTCTTAAGAACTGCAAATACTTTACTAGTACAAGAGTAGGTTATTGTTTCGGAGGGTTTTTTTTTGGTTTGGAAATTTTGAGGTCTACAAGACAACCTTTTAAAAAAGAGCGGGAAAAAAGATCACAAGTCTTACATTACTACGTACTTCCAAGGATAAAAGCATAGATAAAGTTAACTAGTTGCCCCAGAGGCTCTGGAGCAATAATTATTAACTCTCTAAGAACAAACAGGTTACACTACACCTAAATGAAGTTTTACCTAGATTGAGCTGTTCCTCCCCTGAGGTAGCGACAGAGTTAGACCGATATCCCACAGTCCTTTTATTCATATTTTCTTTATGATTAAAGTAATACTGAATCTAAGAAACACTTCTTGACTTCCATGTTGATATGCTAAGGGGCCAAATTCAACCAAACTAATATTATTCAGCCCTTTTAAGTGTGCAGTTGTTATAACAGTAATAGTCAAGGATTCCCATAAGGTATTCATGACACAGGAAATTATCTCCTAAGTAAAATTTTTTTTTTAATGCATGTTTTGTTTTGTTTTTTTTCCTTAGACCTGGTGACAATCTTCTACAAAGAATATATTGTTTCTTCATGAACATCCAGCTCTACAGTCGCTTCTTTGGTTTACGAACATAGAGATTAGTTGAGAGACATGCGAGTGAAGTGACTATAAAAGCCATTTTCTGGCCTAGGAGTCAGATACTAGCCATGGTCAATTTGCCCCTAGTGAAAAACAAGAACCTACCAGAACCCTCCAAAAGAGCTGGCATACTGACAAAGCAAAGAAGGAAGCAATGGATGTAGTAATACCTTCCTGCACACAACAGCAGCAGCACTGACCTTAACAGAAACCACAGGAAAACCAACATTATATGACATGTCATGTGGCACCTGAGGCAGGGGAAAAAAAGAAACCATAAAAAAACCCAAACCAACCAGCCAAATCGACTTTAACTGTTGCTAATGAAACAGCAACAGTTGGAAGTTGCTAATGAAAACAACAAACTGATTAACAAGGCAGCTGCAGTGCTGTGTGGCCAGTCGTGGCCAGATGACTGAATCAAATGAGGTCAGAGAATGAAACGTTGCTCCTTGAGCAGCTAGCTGAGGTCTAAAGGTGACCTTAAGAATTGCAGACAGATATTTTGGCATCAGACCTAAAGAAGCAAAAGACAATCAGACTTTTAAAGAGGGTACTTTACATCATCTTGGCTTAAATCGTGGCTGCGGTGACTCAGTCAAGGTATGTTTTCCTCAGATGCCTCTCCCAGAACAACTTCCACTATTTGTTCATTTGGTTGCAAAGCAAGAGGAAGTCAAACAGGTATTTAAGATGTTTTCAGATGGGATAACCTATTTAAATGTAATTTCCACATATGTGAAGTCTGCAAGTGCTCCGATAAAAAGACTTTTGAACAACTTCTAAACTTTTCCATGTACTTCTTGAACATCCCAATACTAAAGCTTCCCCTTTCCTCCCAACTCTGCCTGCTTTGACTTTTCTTTCCACTTTGAAACCGCCTACCTGATTATAATTTACAGTATGATTTGTCTACTTCTTTGTTTACCAAACAAAAAGTATAGTATTTTGTTGTCTACTTCCACCTTTGGCAATGTTGGTCTTTGGAGCAATAGAAATATTGTTTTAAGCAAGTCATACTAAGACTAGTTACGTCTGAGGAAATGAGGTATAGAAGGGAAGTTGTGAGTCTGAATAACTAAGCTCCTCATTTGCACAATGTCCCCATTGTATGTTCTTACACATAGGTGGCAAATAATGAGGAAACAAGACAACTGATTATGCTCCAGAACACACCCCCACGCCTAGGAGACTATTGTATCCTGGTCTACATAACCCTGAGGCTGCAACTATGAATTAACAAAGTCTACCATCTGGTTTCAGTTAAATCCTTGAAGAATTTATGACAACTCTCTCAAGTCCAACATACTGTACAGAAACTAGTTACACCACAGTGCAAGTTACACCTTAATGAAAGACAAGCCACTTCTTTTAAAGACAAAACACCGACAAAAAAACACCAAAACAGCCAAACACAAAACTTGAGACTGAGTCATCTTTCAGTAAAACCAAAACAGCCTGCTTGGTACTTGAAATCTCTGGGTGCAGGCACTAAGCTGAGTTTGTTGCAGAAAGCTGCATAAGCAAAACTCAACGCACAAGAGCCTGATGGCACCAGCACTACAGCAATCCTCAGAGAAGCAGACGAGGTCAGGAGAATCACTCACTTCTCTGGCAAAAACATCCTTCTGTATTTGACACAGTTGATCCTGAACACTGCTGCTAACAAAGTCTGCACCTGAAGCTACAAGAGTTCCTGCAAATGCAATGGGTACACATCTGGGCGAGGGGAGACAGCTCATGTTTCCATGAGCTCAAAGACCGACTGTATCTGCATACACAATGTAGGGGTCTGAAAGCCCACTAAGCAAGGACAGCTTTAGCCTACAGACAAAGCTATTATTCCAAAGGTTCAAATATGCTGTCACAACAACCCCAAAATGAGTGCAACACAATGTTCCTCTTGGCCCGAGGGATTCAAAGCGGTCAAAACCACTTCATGCTTGAGCAAATGCATTTCCCCTATCTTAGCATCAACAGCTTTTTACATTAAAGCATGCATCCTGTAGGCAAGATGCACAAAGTGTTTTTATATTGCATATGGTTTTAAAATACTAAAATATTTTACACTAACAGGAGAGTCTTATACTGGTCTAGTATTCAGCAGGTAGTGTTAGTCCTAGTTACTCTAGAGCATGAGCAAGGACTAGATTCAGTTATTTTATCACCAGGATAAGTGAAGCTATGCTCCAGAAAAGAAATGCTGATGCCAGGCAGTCCTCACAGTATTTGTCAAAACAAATGAGGAAAAGCATCTTTTACTTGCACACAACCTGCTACAAACATGCTAGAGAGGTCACAAATGAAAGGTCAAGACATGACTGAGAAACCAAGGCTAACAAGTCTGCAGACTGTGCTGACAGATTGCTCTCTTAGACAGTCAGTGCTCAGAAATACCCCATTTACAGTCCCACTCTGTCTACACTGAGTTTGTGGAGCACTCATGAAGACAGCTTCAGAAGCCAGTGCTCAGGCCACCATTATTTCTCCCTAATTAAATCGATCATTAGAGCACTAAGCAGAACTGTTAATTCACCTGAGATGTCCAGCCTTCCCTGAGGTGGTGTCACAGCTCAGCAGAGCCTGCTTTCCCTCCTTCTTACACATGAACTCAGCTCATGTCACGGCTGAGAGAGGTCAAACAAAGACTCAACAAATTAAAGACAGTATCAGCAAGACCGTCAGAGAGGTTAAGCACAAAATGCATGCTTGCTCCTGGCAAACTTTCATGTATAACATGGATTTCATTTACATTTAATTTCAGGAAAGAGCAAGTACCATCATCAACTTTTACAGTACCTAGACTGACTACCTAACAGTAACTGCCATAAACACACTTTGCAAAACCAGCCTTGTAAGTAATAATGCTTGGCTACATAACCTGGCAAACACTCATCAGAATCCAGGAGCACATCCCCATGTATGCGCAGCTGCACAATCTGCTCTCGTCATGGTATCATAACCTTTAAGTGCTTCCTGGGAAGGCTCCTTCATTGTCCGACAAATGACAGCTGGGGCTTGCAGGTGGCTTTGAGTCAGCCTGCCTGTAAAGCCAACAGGACACCTTGAAGCTGAACTACCCAAATATGAAGTTCACTAATTTCTGACCTTAATCCTTAGAACAGGTCAGCAAATAGAACCGCAGAATCATAGAATGTTTTGGAATGGAAGGGACCTTTAAAGGTCGTCTAGTCCAACCCCCCTGCAGCAGAAGGAACACCTAACTAGAAGAGGTTGCCTCACCCAATCTGACCTTGAATGTCTCCAGGGATGGGGCTTCCACCACCTCTCTGGGCAATATGTGCCAGTGTTTCACCACCCTCGTTGTAAAAAATTTCTTCCTTACATCCAGTCTACATCTACCCTCTTTTAGTTTAAAACCGTGACCTCTTGTCCTTTTGTGTATATCACAAATCAATGTGAAACGTGCCTCAATCCTCAAAAGAAAAAGGTCCTAACAGAGAAGAACAAGCCAAACACGTTTTGTTCCTACGGCCAACGAGTTATTGTGGACAGATGTTCTTCCCCAGTATCACCAGATTTTGTAAAGTGACTGCCACTGCCTATTCAGCCAGTCTCTGAGCTGGCATGTGACTGCAGTTTCATGGTGCAGACTGCTCTACTTAGTATATCTCCATCAGCCCATTGTCACAAAAAATAAATACAGCAAATTAAATGGATACTCAATATATATGCATATATATATATGCATATCTATATAAAAAACAATCAAGCACATGTTCTTTTATGATCACCCAGCTGCAATACCCATTACTACAGTCTGAATTCAAATACACTTCAAAAACTAAATTTCAAATCTAAAATTATCATTATCGTAAGGGAAAACTGTGCTCAGAGCACTCAGTTATCCTTCTGTATTTTTTTCCAAGCTTTAGGCAACTATCCAAATTGAAAATCTTCCCTGCTTAGAAAAGTTTGCAGAAATTAAGAGTGAGGTAAGCATAGACTTTTAACAAGTTCTAGTCTATTATATCAGAAATACCAGAAAAGTCTCCTTCCCAAGCTGGTATTTAAAGAGAAACGCAAAATCTGGGAGAATATGCTATTTTTCATCCTTTAAATATAATACAGGAGTTGCTTTTACTGTTTCCACATCCATAAAGACAGTCTGAGTTGGCACGTGTGCCTCCCTACCTCCATCCTCTAAGCTGCAGTTTGCAGTGACGCTGCTGACATTTTGAGTTGGCGCTGCTACAGAGCAGAACTGCTCTTTTTATACTTGTGTCTTCACACAACATGACATTGTCATCTTCTGAAACAGGAATTTCCTCCTTCCAGCAAGTTAAATAATGCTAATTTTTGCTATTTTTTTTCATAAAGTAACTTTCCAAGCTTAATAAATTAACTGTCAGCTGACAGAAGCTATACTTGAAATTTTCCCCTAAAAATGATCACATGAAAAGAAGTTTACTTTTCACAGTTTTTGTTACAAATCTTATCAGATTATCATAAAAAAAGCAAAGGCTGAGCAGATTTCAAAGAAAAATGCATCTGTAGAACTTCTTGACTAATTTCATGGGTCTGTAGACAGGGATTTCTTTCCTGACAGCCTCGTACATCACCACAGCATTTTAAAGCAATGGCTGGGGAGCCAAATTACAAGCTCCACAATCTTGAGGAATTGTTGTAAGTACAGTAGCTCGAAAGCATGTTACACCAAAATGTGCCCCATCAACCCATGACCTCCCTCTTCTCATGACTTCCAGTATGTCGGTTCTCAAGAAAAAAATATCAAGAAAATCAGTATGCCAAAAAAGATGTCATTAAAGCTATCAATCTACTTCCTGTTGAGCAGGAATCAGAATTCCTTAGCTTAAAGATATCATTCACTGCCATGGTAGCTTTGCAAATGAATGGGGTATTTTATACATAATTTCAACAATTATGTTGAAATACATACCAATACAAACCAATTATCCAAAACATAATAAAAAAGCCAAATAACCTACTAAACCACTACAGTCATCAGAAATTATTCCATGCTAGATACCAAGTAACATGAACTACAGCACTAATGGCCAGGGTGTCAAGCAACTTAGACCTTCCTTTCACAAAGGGCCTGTAAATTAACCTGAAAAAAAATCGCAATAAGAGTATGTTTAAGCCCGCCTTTGCTTCCTGTCAGCATCAATGTTGTTACCAAAAGAATTCCACGTGAGTAACTGAACAGAATAACTTTTTTCCTATCCAGTTGGTTTCTGCACGTGGTTATCTACACAAACCTTATGCAGCGTACATCCACAGATTGGACGTTAGGAAGAAGTTCTTCCCCATGAGGGTGGTGAGACACTGGAACAGGTTGCCCAGAGAGGGGGTGGAAGCCCTAACCCTGGAATTTTTTAAGGCCAGGCTGGACGGGGCTCTGGGCAATGTGGTCTAGTGGGGGATGTCCGTGCCCATGGCGGGGGGGTTGGAACTAGATGATCTTTAAGGTCCCTTCCAACCCTGACAATTCTATGATTCTATGAAAATGTAAAAAATAAGGGTGCTCACGTTGTGTAAGTCAATAAAGAGGAGAATAGCTTTGCCAACAGACACAAACGATTGGCGTCAACTTCTTTCTTTCTATTTGAGAACACAGTTGTACGAAGAAAAAGGGAACTAAAATGGATTTAGAAAAACGTTGACCAGTTAGATGAAAACAGGTTTTACTACTGTGTGAAAGACGTAGGAAGAGAACTTGGGAGATGGTGAGACAAAGGTCTGAAAGCCAACTCTCAGAACATGTTGCTTCGTAATTTCTCATCTGGTTCCTCTGGAAACGCTACAAAGCAGTTTTATATACTACATAAAGCACAATAAATGCAATCAATTAAATGAAAACACTCTTCATTTTCAACAAGGATCACTGTTTCACCCGTGTACCAACCACAGCCTTACCTTCAAAGCACCACAAAGCTCAACTGTATCTGCATCGTCTACTACAGTTATTCGGAAGTTCGGAGTCTGCAAGAGTTCTTTGAAGAGAAGGCCGTTTTCCAAGATTTTGCTGCCTGTCGAGAGAAAAAAAAGAAGGGTAAAAAAATGGCTAATTTGTTTGGGTGTTATTTAAATCTTTCCATGGCAAGCTGAAATACTTAAAAGCAGAGATAATGTTCTATCTTATCCTAAACAGACTCCTGTGTTACATGACTACAGATGTGTCAATGCCAGTTAAAAGCTCTGCACTGAGTTACTCTGGACTTCTTAACTCATTCTCTGCTCAGCAACAGATTGCACACAACAATTTCATTAATTCTTTACACTCTTTTCTCATCATTCTCTTCTAAAACAACAGTTGATAATAAAGCAAAGATTAAATAAAATATAGCAGGTGTAATTCTACCGATTATTTTTAAGGCCTGCATTCCAGAAAAACACTTACTGATAAAGGCATATCACGATGTTTAATTAATCGAGTATGCTCCCATTGACAAATGTTTCTAAGCATTAAAAGGTATTTCAATCATTCAGAAACAAGTTCAGTGGAAAAGCTGTTAATGAAAGGTAACAAAGATAAAAATGCACAAAACTGTGAAAATTAACACTGAAAAAATAACATGAACACTTTGCTACTATGTATGAATATGCACACACATACACACCTACCTAGACACTGTGAAATCCAAGACCAGGCACATCTTTTTGTTGCAAAAGTATGCACAAATCCACACAGCACTAAAATCACATCTAGCTTTTGAGGGAACTAATTATTTCGAGACATTAAAATAAGATAATGATACCTTAAAAAAACCTGACCCAAACATGCATAAAGGTATCATCTGTGATCGTAACATCTGGACTAGCACATCTAATCATTTATATGGATAAAGCCATGCAGATGGAAGAAAAATCTTCAGCAGAGTAATAAAATAAAGCAGTTTGTAACATAGAGGGTGATAAAAACCACGCTTAGGATTTCACCTGCTAAGGTCACAATACTAGTGAGACTAGGTAAAATTGTACTCCTCCCTCTCCCTCTATTCCTGCTATGGTCCTAATATTTTTGGAAGTGTAAACATCCTAGAAAATTCAACATTCAAAATAAGAATTCAACAGTTTCTGGCAACAGCCAGCTAATGTTGAAAACAATAAAATTTGAGCTATTTGTTGTGCAACTGTGAGGACAGGAGCATATTTTATTAAATGCTATTACTCAGAACGGTACCTATTGTGGTTTCACAAAATTTCTCTGCTGCCACCTCATTGGCAATGTTGGCTCCCATCAGCACACTGATGTCTATTCCCATCTTCTCTCGAATAATGTCAGAGATCAGCTTGAGTCCCTCTGGGCCTTCGTCTATTCCCTGCAGCCAACATTAAATAGAATTACTAAAAAGGTCATTCATTAGACAGAGTAGAGAAGAAAGCACATCACAATCGGTCTTGTCCATGGGTGGGAAGCACAACAAAGCCTACTCAGATAGAGGCTGAAGATGACAGACTTGTCACACGTGAAACTTCTGCTATCATTGTGACCTCTCCCAGCTGTTCTTTCATAGGACGTAGCACCTTAAGAGTTAGGACTAAACTCGAGAGGATTGTGACAGCTTTTATTCCACCAAATATTTTATTCCAGCTCAACCAAAGCTCTGACTCTAAAAAGCACTAAATATGCAGCTTTGTTAGTTCAGAATCTCAGCTGCTTGCTGTCAGTGTAGCCTTACTGAAACCAGAGAGGCATCACCAATCCATCAGCTGTGAATCAGGGTTGCACTTGGATTTGAAAATGCACCAAAATTCACAGAATGGCATCCCAATAACTTGTTTTGTGAAGAGGTATCTCAACTGAAATATCGGAGATAGATTTCCTTGGGTATAATCCCAACAACAGTTTGCCAGTAGAAACCCAGTTTAATAATTTTGACTACTACTAGAAATGAACAGCCATTCACAGATATGTAGAAAGCTGAACAACTAAGAATAATTTAACTTCTCACATTATTTTTCATCTTTATTTATAATGCACTCTTCACAAAGCACGAAAGTAGGGGCAGAAATAGGACTTTAGAAAAGATCACCCCAGATATTAACGCAGTAAGAAAGAAAAGAGTCTGGTACCCTGAACTGCCTGAATCAAGAACTCCAAATGAGATCACTTTCTTCTCACAAAACCCTTTTCTCCTAGCCTGCTACACACAGACTCCTTTTGAGTTGGGGTGGGGTTTTTTGACTTCTCCTCAAGACTCAGTTTTATTATCAGATACTAGGCTCTGCTGGAAGATTAGACTGTAAAAAAAAGAAAAGAAAAAGACTAAAAGATGACACACCGCTAACTTGCCAAGCAATTTAGAAAGTACAGAAACAAGACACCCCACTAACGATTTTCTGAGCAGAACTGCACTTTAACTGCCAAAGTTAACACAACCCACTTCAATAGCAATAGTGTTGAGCACTAGAGACCACTAAAAATATGACTTTCATGAAATCAGCATTCACAAAGAAGCTGCAAAACTAGAGGAAAGAATGCATTGCTGCCTTTACTATTTATTTTCATTGCTGAGTTAAAACTCTGCCCTTTCTTCTTAAGTGATACTTCTAATGATGCACAGTTAGGCCTTTCCATAAAAGCTAACAGTGCTTTAAATTCTGCACCAAAAAAACCTAAGGAGCCTCAATTTCCTTCCAAAAGATACTATGTCACAATGTGACAGTGGGAAGCTGCCAAGTAATAAACTCTGCTTTGCATGACAGTTTTATTTATATTATCCTCAATACAGGCTTTTTGTTTTGTTGGGAATTTTTAATTTGCTACCGATTTGGATTTTTTTTTAAAGTGTCCTCTTTTAAAAAAAACAAACCACCACACAACAACATAGGCATTAATTAACACTCCATTAAAACCACTGGTACCCAACACACAGAGCAGTAATCCCAAGGGAACAACACAGGCCCAGATACTGACTGCTGATATGCTCACATAAATTCTTATTCACTCCACCGATTTAATGAGAGTTACTGCTATCACTAACGACATGAGAACATAAACCACATTTAGAAAATTAAAGAATAAATTTTGTCTTGAGCTTACAGAAGAAAGAAGCATAAATGGAGAACTTCAAAGCAATAAACTTACAGGCACCTAGGACAGGTATGTGAGTTTAATGCCATGCATTCAGCTCTTTTAACACTACCTTATTTTATCCTTCTACAATACAAAAAGTTTTTCTACAAAATGCAGCAAGTGCGCCTGGGAAGCATTACTTTTTCATACATGTCAGTGCTATATCAGGTCGGTGCTGACAAAACAATAGAGATTTAGCCAAACCAAATAAACACTTTTGCAGTCGTGACAGGGTTTTTTGTTCTTTTTGAGCACAGATACATAAATGTATCATCTTCCAGAAATGACAGTAAACAAGGGAATGTGTGTTGAGAAAATAGCCTACTCTCAACTAATTACAAAGCAACAACATACCAAAATCTTCCAGACCTTGTGGGGATAGCTTATTCTTTGCAGACAAACACAAAGAAAGGGAAAAAAGAAAGAAAAAAATTAAGCTCATCCACATTTAAAGTTTCCTGCAACCAAAACTACACCAGTGAAACATTTCCTGCACCTCTGTCCCCTCCTATTTCTGATGTTCAAACTGTTTTTTTTGGGCCATGCTGAACAGATTCTCTTGTTGCAATGTCATGTTTGACATGAAGAGCAACACTATCCCCCGAAATTCACGCGAAACTCCCTCAGCAGTTCTTAAAACAATCAACTCCGAGTGTGGGGTGTGTGTTAACAATCAAAGCATTATGCTTGTGCTCTGTTCTTCATCTAATGATGTGTTTGGAAACAACAAATAAAAAGATCAGGAAGCTTGGAGGTGCAAAACATATTCATTCCCCCTTTCTTTGTACGAGTCTTGTGAACAGTCTCATTTTCCTCTTCCTGCAAGCGTCGGCCTCAAGCGAGACATAACAAGCCACTAATGACCCAGACAAATTCCAATCCTACATCTAGAAAGGTTTAATAGAGCAATTGAGTGAATAATGCCAAGAAACTTTTCATATCAAATTATCGAGCTTTCTAGCTTTAGAACATTCCATGTATTTCTTATACCTTTATGAGCGTTATACCCAGTGCTTTCTTGGGTACTCGTCCTGTGATTTCATCGCAGACTTTATGAATGAACTGATGAGGAATGACAAAAACCAGTAAGTCTGCATCCTGTACAGCTTCGTTAAGGTTTGGGACAGCAACCTGTGGAGTTACAGGAGAGAAAGCTTCTTAAAATTAACACGACACACACATTACCTGATAAGTAATTTTTGGTTTATTCTGAATGCTCTAAACTGCGTTTCATTGTTGAAAATAAGCAGTAACATCAACTTCCCAGAAAAGCAAAAGAATTCAAACTTTCAAACAAGTTACGTCTTGAAAGGGGCATCTTCACAGCCGCCAGCATGATTAGTACCACGAAAACACAAAATGTTCAGTAACATTCAAACACGTACTTTGAATAAGAAAATACAAAATAAGAAACTGCATTCTCTTTCAGAAAATAATCTCAACTTCTGATAAATTATTGCATTCAGAAAAAGAGGTTCTTTACTTAGTTCCTTATACACTTAAATTTCTTCTACAGGCCTCTTACACCTACTGGTTTGCATTCCCTTTCTCTGTACTCATAGATTTTGTTTATCCTCTAAAAAAGTGACCTACTTTGAAGTCACTTGCCAGACTCCAATTTTCCTAATACTTCATGATAATCTTAAATTAACACTTGGGTTTAAAATGTAACGATCTGCTCAACCTATTGATAAAGAGAACAAACTTGAGCAAGCAGGCAGCGGACAGCAGAAACACCACACCCTTGCTGAAGGTTAGGAAATGGGATTTCAGCATTACGGTTCAAGAGAAAACTGCAACGCACAGCAACTCCTCTTCCTCCCGCCAAAAATCTCTACTGAACTGTGAGCTGCTGCAGCCTCTTACTATAATATTTTTGGGGCAAGAGTTACCACCTGCCCACTTACAATCATGTTACACTAACGCTGCTCTCAAACCACTCATGGCCCAGATTTGTGCTTGGGATTGCCCCAGCCCAGGGCAGGATCTTGCACTTGGCTTTGCTGAACCTCACGAGGTTGGCCTGGGTCCACCTCTCCAGCCTGTCAAAGTCCCTCTGGATGGCATCCCTTCCCTCCAGTGTGTCGACCGCACCACACAGCTTGGTGTCATCGGCAACCTTGCCAAGATGGCACTCGATCCCATTGTGCATGTTGCTGGCAAAAACGTTAAACAGCATCAGTCCCAATACTGACCCCTGAGGGATGCCACTTGTCACGGGTCTCCACCCAGACAATGAGCCCTTGACCACTCTTTTGAGTGTGACTGTTCAGACAATTGCTTACCCACCAAGCGGTCCATCCATCAAATCCATGTCTCTCCCACTTAGAGACAAGGATGTCATGTGGGACAGCATCAAACGCTTTGCACAAGGTGAGGCAGGTGACATCAGTTCCTCTTCCCTTATGTACCAGTGCTGTAAACCCATCATAGGCGGCCACCAAATGTCCACCTTCTGCCCTGGCAATCCACATCAGACACGTACACCTGACTGCACACAGTTGAAACACAACTGAGAACCAGATCAACTGGAAATGGCTTGCAGTTTGCCTGAAAAATACCCAGTTCTCATCCTGTAACGCTTTTTAAGTGTTTCAGAGTACTTGAAATCCCTTCAATTCTGACTGACCAGCCAGCTCCCTTCCAAAGTTGAGGCCTAATTATTTTTTTTTAATGGGTATGGTCAGAGGTATTAATCTTGCCCTTGTTTTTGGATTTGCTTCCCTGTACAGAAACTGAAGTGACATAAAAACAAAGAAAAAAAGTGCAGTGCATTGGATTTACGTACCTGCATAAATGTGTAATTTTACTCATTCAAATCTCTGATATCATTGATAAAATAGCATACAGTCTGAAATATTACAAACCCTAAAGGTGTTAACAAAACAAATTTCTATCTCCATTCAGAGCATGAGCAATATTCCCTCTGCTCTGTAACTAGAACTTTGCTTCTGAGCCTTACCACATTATCTGGCAGCTTGTATCCAGGGAGATATTTTATATTTTCATGTTCATTATTTATGATATCTGTCAGTTTTCTCCCATTAATAGTCTCCTCGAAGACCCACATCTTCACCGTGGAAGCAAACTTTTGCAATTTTTTTACATTATTGCCTATTATCTTGGCAACTGCAGAACCCCTGTAGGAAAGAAAACAACATTATTCTAGAACAAATATGGTTTTGCTCTAGAAGAAAAAGAATGCTTTTAAAATTCACAGAAATTCACAGGTTATTGTACTAGTTACTGTGTAGCATTTCTGATCTGGTAAAACAAGTGCAAAAATAGACCAGTCATCCACACCTGCTGCTTTCTCTCAGATACATCTAGAGTAGGTTGGACTGAAGCATTTACTGAAAATGTCCTTACTTATTTCGTGTGCTTAGTGGCCACCCAGTGAGTGTATGGCTTACCGTAGTTCCACAAATCAACTGGATAATATCTTCGAAGCAGTGGTAAAAGTAGCACTTTCAACTTTGAAAAATGGAAGCTTTCTTCGCTAAGATAACTGACCCACCAATTACTGCACAATATTGACGTGCATTTAAAGCCAAGGAGCATTTATATCTGCACAAGTTAAACTTTATGATTAGGCTGCCTCAAAGAATTTAACTGTTCAAACAGCATCCTCTGAATGTGCAGGCAGATAATTCCATTACCGTTACCCTCATTTTCTCCCCAAGAATGGCATGCAGTGAAACCTGTAGGACAGTGATCAGTTCTACTACTCAAACCTCTAAGCAACAATGAATTTAATGAGAATTACTGAAGCTATGTACAAGAAAAGGAACAAATGCAACCTTCCCTTCCATTTCTAGCCTGAATGCTCTATGGAAGAATAAGATGCAATTTTATAATGTTTATAAACAAGTTAACCTAACTTCCTTTCTTGGAACAAGAAGGTAGCTTCATAATTACTGATAAACTACTAAGGAGACAATAGAAAATGTTTAGAAGGATGCAATAAAAATACACAGTCACCAACCTGACATGTGTGTGTGCCAGTGTGGAAACTGCACATTTTATTAGGAGGTAAGAACACTTTAACTTTTCAAATGTTGTTATACTCACACACTCCTCTAAATTTATTATGGACATTGCTGGTAATAAACTCACAGCTGGCAGCTGAACCAAATAGATTCATTCTGCTCCAAGAGCTTTGGATACAGCATGACTCATTGTGTTGTATTAAAGGTGTGTGCTGTCACAGGTCACTTCCTAAGTAATGGCAGAAAAAATTACAGTATCCTAAGCAGACCTTCCTCAGTTAAACCATAAAACTGTATGTCTTAAAAGACTGGAATTTATTTCTCTAACAGCACTTCACATACTACAAATTTCCTGGGGTTCAGGAGGTGATACAGAAGCCACAACTGTCAGCTGTCTCTCACCAAGCTCATAGGCTCGATCTGCCAGCACACATGAAGTGGTTTCCGCTGCAGCAGTAAGACAACTCACCAGCTCAATCTCCAAAGTTCAGATCCACACAAACAGCATGAATGACACGCAGCCTAACGCCAGCGTATGTGTTCCTCAGAATGTGCTCTCAGTTCCATGAACAAAAGCACAGTTACTACCACAGACCCATAGACAAAGCCTAGATCCTGGCAAATCACCATCTTCAGTTTTGAGCTTTACATTCTGTGTGCTTAGTGTTGATAAAGACAGAAACAACTGATTCAGCAACGCTTTGGGATTTTCAAAGTTTGCCAGCACATACTACTTGAGCAAGATGTGAATTCCACCACTACTTAACACTTAAATGCCTTAGCTGTCTTTTTTTCAGCCTCCGAATGTAGTATTAATAAAAGTGAAGTTTCGTCTAGTCTTAGTTCCAGCACTCAAGAAGATTCTCCTGACTGGCTTCCTTATTTCTCATCATGTTGCAACAACGGTTGTAGGACTGAATTTAGCAAGGTCAAAAAACTAGCACTAAGTCTAAAAATTGCACCACTCAACGTGAAACACCAGCTTGGCACCTCCGATAATCTGACGAGCAAGCCAGACTCTCTTCTGTGCCCTAACAGCTCTCAGTGCGTACTCTGAAGTAATTTACTGGAATGTCTGGCTCGCCTTGTATATTCCTGACATTACAAGGCAAAGGAATTGGAATTCTTGCCAATTTATTCCTAGTAATAACAGTTCTGGTGTCAGCTAGGTTGCAGGACTCGGTGCCTGCAGCAGTTCAGTTACACATGAAAAAACTCACAGTGAACGATTCTCTCCTGAACGTTAACCCTGATGTGCTCTGAGGGATGGTTAATGATATTCAGGTAACACAAGGTAGTTGCAGGACAAACGGCAGTTTTCCTCCTCACAATGAATGCCAAAGGCACACCCAAATGCAATCACATATTTAACGCTTCTGAGGAATTTCTGATGCTCACTGAGCAAGACCACTGCGTTGGGTTTGTGTCTGGGGGTTTTTTCGGTAACAACAGAGCGGGGCTACTGGGGTGGCTCCTGTGCAAAGCTTCTAGGGCCTCCCCCAGGTAAAACTGCCTCTGGCCAAGGCCAGGCCAACGGATGCCTCTGCGATCCATGTATTTGAGAGGGGAAACCTGTCATGAAAAACTTCCTTTGTGTTGGGGAGTGCTTGGTTTTGGAGAGGAGGGGCAGGTGAGAAAAGCAACCACACGGTCAGTAAAGAAAGAGGTGGGGAAGGGCACCGGAGCAGAGGTTTCACTGAGGTCCATGGTGAGATGACAAGCTGAGGCTCTGCCAGCCGAGGAAACTCATGGTGGTGTACGATGCAGGTTGCAGTCCGTGGAGGACCCCACGCCAGAGAAGAGGGCTGTGCGGGCAGCACACCGTGATGTTGAGGGGAGCCCGTGCAGAATCAGGTTCATTGCTGTGAGGACTGCAGCCCGTGGGAGGGACCCGTGCTGGAACAGTTTGGGAAGAACTGCAACCATGTGGTAAGGACTCACACTGGAGAAGTTTGAGGAGGACTGTCTCCCGTGAGAGGGACACCACACTGGAGCAGAGGAAGACTGTGAGGAGTCCTCTTCTCCAAGGAGGAAGGAGCGGTATGGACAATGCGTGACAGACTGACCACAACCCCCATCCCCTGCCTCTCTGCGCCACCAGGGGGAGGAGATAGCCGGGAAGAAGGAAGGGGTGGGGGAAAGGTGTCTTCAAGATCTGGTTGTATTTATTTTCTCGCTATCCTACTCTGATCTAATTCATTGGTAAACTGGTAGTGGTTCTGTTGTCTAAATTAAATTGATGTTTTCTCCCCAACTTTAGCCTCTGCTTGCGATACCAAGTGGTGAGTGAGCCCTCCTTGTCCTTAATCTCCATTCTCAAGGCTTTTGTTGAATTTTTTCCTTGCAAAGGGGCATAAGAGTGAGCAAACCACTGTGTGGTTCTTTGCTACCAGCTGGATGGGCTCAAACCACCACAACCACCATTTCGTCTCCTTCCCTTGACTGTTACAGCACATCACAGTTGATCTGCTTTCCCCTCATCACTTTAAAGCAAAACCCCCCGAAGCTCCTAAACTTGCCCTGATACCAACATCAATGAAGGTCAAAATACGTAAGTGTAAATAATATCATTAACTCTAGCTCTACCATTTGTCCGTGTAAAATCACCTCAGTTAAGCCACAAGTTTCACCTCCTGTTTTTTTACAGGAAATTCCCAGTTGTATGAACCCGTTTCCTCCCAAACACTAGTTTCTGTCAAATCAGGTTAATAACAACTGGTTCTAGTAAAATAAACATGCATAAATTCTGGCTGTGCACACCTTGTTAATCTTCCCTGGACGTTATCAGAAGAGCAGGCTGCAGTATGTGCCCAAGGCAGCATGTAGAGTGTTTTAACTGAATCTGGACAACGCCCTTGAATCCTGCGGCTCCGAGGCACATTCCCAACTCTCTTCACATTCAAGAAAGCTTATTTTTTCCCTATGTTAAAGATCATAATACAGTCACTTATCCACCAGACGAGCAATCCTAAATGGGCAAGGTCACCTAGAACCTCAGCTCCCGTTCTGCGGTGCCTTGCGCGCCACCTGTCCCGTGCCACCATCTTCCATCAGGTGTCAAGTGACCACTGCCCGGACAACTTCACTGTTGACTTTTCCCTGTAGCAAACTGACATAACAAGTCTGACTGGAAGTAGTTTATCGTCCAGGGTGATTGACTCAACCCTTCTCGATGGTCACAGTCCTGCCAAGCTCTTTTAGTGGTGGTGTTTTCTTTTTCTTTGGTCTCAGATGTTGGTTAAAGGGCTGTGAGAGGCAAAGATGTCCACAGTTACTGGCACTTGTGGAACAGAATCATCTCACACAGTCTCTGAACTGCTAAACATGCAAAACTCCACTCAGTTTAACTACTTATATGCTTACAATTTATGCAAGACAACTCACACGCTCCAGTAATCCAGGCTTCAGAAATACATAAACCCAAAATATCAATGATAAAATGCATTTAAGTGCTTCAATTTATTTCTCTTTACCTGCTTGTGAGCATTAAAGGCTTTCACTTTAGGACCACAGGCCCCACTTGGGCCATATAATGCCCAAAAAGCACTTAAATGCACAACTGAAATAAAGTCCTATTTAGTTCAATGGTTGCACATTGAATCACAGTACCCTTTGCAGTCAGGATTTTGTGTCTGTTATTCCCCGGACTCTCAGGAAGAAATCATTCTCTTCAAGAATTACTGTTTTTAGAAACATTTGGAGGGTGGGGGGAAAGGGAGATGGGAGAGCTGTTGCAGATCAAATCACAAATTTTAAATTGCAAGTGACTACCTTGGTTTCTCCTTTCCTGCCACAAAAAAAAAAGTCACACTGATATAAAATATGAAATATTTCATATTTGACTACACTTATCCCCAAAAGAAAGATAAAAGCTGGTGCCTGGCAATAGCATTATCTCTCTCTCAGCAGCACTGATATGGGCATTTTGCCACCCAGATATCCACTGTTAGGCAGGAGCTTTCCTTGTTATTAAAGGTGAAAACAAAACATGTAAACACGTGGTTATTGCTAGTAGGTAGTATCTACAATTCCTTTTGCTTCTGCAAGTGTGTTTCACAGTGAATCAAATATAAATGCAGTCAAACTCCCTGTAAAACTTTTTGCTAGATCTCAAGAATGGAAGAAAAGAAACAATACTCCTAAAAGACTGG